CTGTTTAACTAGGAGGCGCCAGCGGCCTATTGTGGACAGGTTTTCACCCTTGGTGGTGGAGGCCTGGCGGTTTGCTCCCGCTTTTCCTTTTTCTACTGGACTCATGCTTAACTGCCGTGAGCAGCCTTTAAACTTGTAGTCCACCTCCTAAGGGAGGTAGGCGAAGAGAAAAATCTCACATCTATAACCTTTTGTTCTTAACGTTCCAGGTCTCAGGAAATCTTCCCTATCGATTTTATCAATTCCTGTTACTATTTTGTAAGTAGTGATCATATCACCTCTTTTTCTTCTGTCTTCTAGTTTTGGCATATTTAATGCCTCTAACCTCTCCACGTAGCTCTTGCCCTTCAGTTCTGGGAGCCACTTAGTAGCATGTCTTTGCACCTTATCCAGTTTGTTGATGTGCTTCTTAAGATATGGGCACCACACAACCGCTGCATATTCTAGCTTTGGCCTAACAAAAGTCGTGAACAATTTCTTTAGTATATCGCCATCCATGTATTTAAAAGCAATTCTGAAGTCAGAAAGCGTGGCATAGGCTCCTCGCACAATATCCTTTATGTGGTCCTCAGGTGATAGTTTTCTATCTAGAACCACACTTAGATCTCTTTCTTTATCAGAATTCTTTAAAGATTTCTCACATAATATATAGGTTGTGTGAGGTCTATGTTCTCCTATTCCACATTCCATAACATGGCATATATTAACATTAAATTCCATTTGCCAAGTGGTGCTCCATATACTTATTTTGTCCAGGTCATCTTGAAGGGCATGACAATCATCTAAGTTTCTTATCCTTCCTTTTATCTTAGCATCATCAGCAAACATGTTCATATAATTCTGTATACCAATTGGTAGATCATTTATGTAGACAATAAACATCACTGGTGCAAGAAGTGAACCCTGTGGTATTCCACTTATGACATTTCTCCAGTCCGATACATTGCCTCTGATCACTGCCCTCATTTTTCTATCAGTCAGAAAATTTTTCATCCACGTTAGAAGCTTACCTGTCACCTCTCCGTTATTTTCCAGTTTCCAGAACAACCTTTTATGTGGAACTCTGCCGAAAGCCTTTTTTAGGTCCAGATAGATGCTGTCAACCCAACCATCTCTTTCCTGTAATATCTATGTTGCTCGATCATAGAAACTGAGTAAATTCGATACACAGGATCTTCCAGATCGAAAACCATACTGTCTGTCTGATATTATATCATTTCTCTCCAGATGATCTACCTATATAATTTTAATTATTTTTCCAATATTTTGACTATTACAAATTGTGTGTGTGTGTGTGTGTGTGTGTGTGTGTGTGTGTGTGTGTGTGTGTGTGTGTGTGTGTGTGTGTGTGTGTGTGTGTGTGTGTGTGCGTGAAAAAAAGATAGTTAGTAGTTAGTAAGAGTTTAATGATTGACAGATGAGAGGCAGGTCGAAAGAGCAGAGCTGAACCTCAATAAGCAAAACTAGGTGAATACAAACACACACTAAACACACACACACACACACACACACACACACACACACACACACACACACACACACACACACACACACACACACACACACACACACAGGTAATGGTAAGGGGCGAAAAGTCGGACTGGCGAACAGTAACAAGTGGAGTACCTCAAGGATCGGTGCTGGGACCAATCCTCTTTCTAATTTACGTAAATGATATGTTTACAGGAGTGGAATCATACATGTCAATGTTTGCAGATGACGCAAAATTAATGAGAAGAGTTGTGACAGACGAGGATTGTAGGATCCTCCAAGAGGACTTAAACAGGCTGCAGAGATGGTCAGGGAAATGGCTACTGGAGTTTAACACCAGTAAATGTAAAGTTATGGAAATGGGATCAGGTGACAGGAGACCAAAGGGACAGTACACAATGAAGGGGAACAGCCTACCTGTAACGATTCGAGAAAGAGACCTGGGAGTGGATGTGACACCTAATCTAACTCCTGAGGCACATATAAATAGGATAACGACAGCAGCGTACTCTACACTGGCGAAAATTAGAACTTCATTCAGAAACCTAAATGAGGAAGCTTTTAGGGCGCTTTACACTGCCTACGTGAGACCCGTCTTAGAATATGCCGCGCCATCATGGAGCCCCCACCTGAAGAAACACATAAAGAAACTGGAGAAGGTCCAGAGGTTTGCGACGAGGCTTGTCCCAGAGCTACGAGGGATGGGATATGAAGAGCGGCTGAAGGAACTGAACCTTACGACACTAGAGAAAAGAAGGGAGAGAGGAGATATGATAGGGACATATAAAATACTCAGGGGAATTGACAAAGTGGAAATAGATGAAATGTTCACACGTAATAATAACAGAACGAGGGGACATGGGTGGAAACTGGAAACTCAGATGAGTCACAGAGATGTTAGGAAGTTTTCTTTTAGCGTGAGAGTAGTAGAAAAATGGAATGCACTTGGGGAACAGGTTGTGGAAGCAAATACTATTCATACTTTTAAAACTAGGTATGATAGGGAAATGGGACAGAAGTCATTGCTGTAAACACCCGATAGCTAGAAAGGCGGGATCCAAGAGTCAATGCTCGATCCTGCAAGCACATATAGGTGAGTACATATAGGTGAGTACACACACACACACACACACACACACACACACACACACACACACACACACACACACAAGTGTGTGTGTGTGACACGAACAAGGGGACACAGGTGGAAACTTAGTACCCAGATGAGCCACAGAGACGTTAGAAAGAATTTTTTCAGTGTCAGAGAGTTAATAAATGGAATGCACTAGGAAGTGATTTGGTGGAGGCTGACTCCATACACAGTTTCAAATGTAGATATGATAGAGCCCAGTAGGCTCAGGAATCTGTACACCTGTTGATTGACAGTTGAGAGGCGGAACCAAAGAGCCAAAGCTCAACCCCTACAAGAACAATTAGGTGAGAACACACACACACACACACACACACACACACAAGACGAAGCTGGAAAAAGTTCAAAGGTATGCCACTAGACTAGTCCCAGAACTAAGAGGCATGAGTTACGAGGAAAGGAAATGCACCCTACGACACTGGAAGACAGAAGAATAAGGGTAAACATGATCACTACCTACAAAAGGAGAATCGACTCAGGGGAATCGACCGGGTAGACAAGGATAAACTACTCAACACTGTTGGTACGCGAACAAGGGGACACAGGTGGAAACTGAGTACCCACATGAGCCACAGGGACGTTAGAAAGAACTTTTTCAGTGTCAGAGTAGTTAACAGATGGAATGCATTAGGCAGTGTTGTGGTGGAGGCTGACTCCATACACAGTTTCAATTGTAGATTTGACAGAGTCCAGTAGGCTCAGGAATCTGTACACCAGTTGATTGACAGTTGAGAGGCGGGACCAAAGAGCCAAAGCTCAATCCCCGCAAGCACAAATAGGTGATTACACACACACACTTACCTTGGAGTTTTTACGGGGCTTAGCGTCCCCGCGGCCCAGTTGTCGAATAGGCCTCCTCATTACTGGACTGGTCAACCAGGCTTTTTGAAGCGGCTGCTCGCAGCCTGATGTATTAATCACAGCCGGGTTCATCAGGTATCCTTTGGAGGTGCTTATCCAGTTCTCTCTTGAACATTGTGAGGGGTCGGCCAGTTATGCCCCTGATGTGTATTGGAAGCGTGTTGAACAGTCTCGGGCCTCTGATGTTGATATAGTTCTCTCTCAAATACCTGATGCCCCATGCTTTTCAACGGGGGGTATTCCGTACATCCTGCCATGCCTTCTGGTCTCATGTGATGTTATTTCTGTGTGCAGGTTTGGAACCAGTCTCACTAATATTTTCCACGTATAGATTATTATGTATCTCTCTCGCCTGCGCTCAAGAGAATAGAGATTTAGGCTCTTTAGTCGGTCCCAGTAGTTTAGATGTTTTACTAAGTGGATTCTAGCAGTAAAGGATCTCTGCACGCTCTCCAGGTCAGCAATTTCTCCAGCTTTGAAGGAATTGCTAACCTGAAGAGCGAGCGAGCGATCATATGGGTGATCACACACATATGATCACCACATACAAAATTCTCAGGGGAATGGACAGGGTAGACAAGGATGGATTATTTAATACGGGTGATACATACACAAGGGGACACAGGTGGAAGCTGGGTATCCAAATGAACCACAGAAACATTAGAAAGAACTTTTTCAGTGTCAGAGTAGTTAGTAAATGGAATGCACTAGGAAGTAATGTGGTGGAGTATGACCCCATACACAGTTTCAAATGTAGACATGATAGAGCCCAGTAGGCTCAGAAATCTGTACATCAGTTGATTGACGGTGGAGAAGCGGGACCAAAGAGCCAAAGCTCGACCTCTGCAAGCACAACTAGGTGAGTACAACTAGTAGAGAAAACACACACAAAATCACAAACATTACTACAAATCCACACACAAATATATAAACAAACTCACAAATAAACACAAACACACATACACTAATTGTATTTCATTTAAAATACATGCATCAAACAAACAAACAAACAAAAATATCGTTGGAACATTTGCTGAGAGGTCAAAGATTAGGCTGACTGAAAATAATGTATTTTAATGAATAATTAAAATAATGTACTTTTTACAACAAATTACAAACGTTAAGGAAACGTTTTGTGTTTGCTGGGAAGATATAAATGTATTTAAGTCTCGGGAATCGTGTTGCCGAGATCTAAAAGATTTTGAGGACAAAATTGTTTACTACGCAAAAAAACACACAGGCAAAAATGAAAGCCACAGAACACAGTCATTTCACATGGCAGCCCATTCTCCCAAGCATTCCCAACGTCACTAAACTGCTGTACTAAAATGATCAAATCTAATCTACTCAAGGACCCACGAACAGAAGAAAATTGGATATCACATCAATTTTGCAAGCCTCTTTCATTTTTAGTACATCAGTTTCTGGCTTTAAGGAAATTATACATCAAAATACGATGTACTATTCAGAAGAACGGGTTGGACAGGCATGTACTGACCTTCCTTGGAGAGGAGCTTCCTGAGATCTGCGCCTCCTTGTAGTGAAGAGGAACGTAGGAAGGCATTATGGAGGGCCATGTTGAGGGAGGTACGGTCGAGGGCCAGGTGGAGGGAGGCGTGGTCGAGGGCCAGGTAGAGGGCGTGGACAGTGTTGCGGAGACTGTGGTGGAGGAGCACGGCCCTGGCTCCCGCCCTCCCACCTATGGCTACCACCACTGTCTCCGGCAGCCGCCACAATCCAGACATCTCCACCAACCTTTTCATTGTTAAATTAAGAAGAATTTAAACAATTTAGGTAGGTTGTTGTCAAAATATTTATTAGTACTCAATTAATATGTCTATTTCACTTCTCATTATAAAAATTAAAAGCCATGCTGTTCCCCCTGTAAATTCTTATGACCCCACCAGTCTATGTTCCTCCTGAGACGCAGACCATTCTGTCTGTCAATTTGAGTGAATCTTGCTCCAAGCATATGAATTAAATTTTTGGACAAAGAAACAAAGACAGTCTGTTATTTATATTACAAGGGAGAATGTCTGTTAATTTGTGTGTGTGTTCAAACGTGGAGGCCAGATGCTTGAGGCTAGTCTATGCTTGGATGCTTGGGACAAGAGATAATGGTCTGAGGTATGGGACAAATATAGGCTGGTCGGGGTAGCTTAAATTCCAAAGCATACTGTATGCCAGGGTTACATTTAGTCCCCCACAACAATTTTTGGCACTGCCCACCGATTACACAGCTATTTTTAAAACAAATATTTCATAACAATTCTTCTGATTATGATATACACCATTATTTACTGATCTAAGGAAAATTAAAGGAATTTTCCTTCAATCCACAACTTGTTCATAGTCGTATATAACAGACAAGCCTCCCATTGTTTCAAAGGTTTCTCAAACCCTTCACTTTTCTCATAGTAAAAGTACAATATTAGTATTTTATACTGCTAAGCCCCTCTCTCCGGCAACCACACACATATAAGACAATTATGTCTTGATTGTTAGTCCTAAGCATTTGGAGGCCAGATGCTAAGGACTAACTTTACCTAGATTACCAGAGGGTCTGCACTACTAGGATACGAAATGAAAATAGGCTGGCACGGATCATCAGGATTCGAAAGGGAACAGCATGCCAGGGCCACATTCAAGCCCCCAACAAAGATTTATGGCACAGCCCTCTGATTATGCACTTAAATATTTTCAAAACTAACTTTTTAACAATAATTTGTTCTTATAGTAATATACATCATTATTATTCACTGATCTCGGAATACTTAACATAAATTTCATGCTGTCCATAATATACTTGTACTAGTATAAAACAAACAATCCTGCCACAGCTCCAAATTGAAATGCAAATTCAAATTCAAATCAGTTTATTGAGGTATAATGAATGTTTATTGAGGTATATAAATGCACACAAAGGGATGAGGTAGTTCAAGCTATTCTCACCCCTTACGGTACAACGTGTGTGTGTATATATATATATATATATATATATATATATATATATATATATATATATATATATATATATATATATATATATATATATATATGTCGTACCTAGTAGCCAGAACGCACTTCTCAGCCTACTATGCAAGGCCCGATTTGCCTAATATGCCAAGTTTTCATGAATTAATTGTTTTTCGACTACCTAACCTAACCTAACTTTTTCTGCCACCTAATCTAACCTAACCTATTAAGATAGGTTAGGTTAGGTTAGGTTAGGTAGGGTTGGTTAGGTTCGGTCATATATCTACGTTAATTTTAGCTCCAATAAAAAAAAATTTACCTCATACATAATGAAATGGGTAGCTTTATCATTTCATAAGAAGAAAATTAGAGAAAATATATTAATTCATGAAAACTTTAACACACAGTTTTAAGAGTTTTGTTAAAATGTGCAATCACTTTTCAGTAGGATCTCTTTTAATCAATAGATAAGTATCCCTGTCTTCCAGGAGTAACTCCATTTTTCGGACATAGTCATCTTTATTCATAATAACTACTGCATTTGACTTATCAGCCTTGGTAACATGTAATGAACTATCTTTTTTGAGATTTTTGAACGCATGAACAAATCGACTTGGACAATTAGGAACAGAATTGTTAAGTAAAACGCCATACATCATACCTTTGCACACATTAACATCTTCAACTGAGACATTACTATACTTTTCAAGATTGCTGAAACCTTTGGCAATATCTACATAATTGACTGTTCCGTTAGATGTGGCAAAGCTCAGGCCATATCCTAATGCAGTAATAGTGTCATTATCAAGCTGTCTATCCGAGAGGTTTATAACAAAATCCCGGTTGGAGTGTTTATTCCAGTCACTTTGTTGAATAAGTTTCTTTAATTTGAAATCAAGTTTAGTACTTACCTTGCTGCAGGTAGACCTCAAAGTAGTATAACAGTAATCCATCATACAACGGTTCCACTCAGGCTCCTTTAGTCAGTCTGGTATTGACAAAGGCTTTAACAAGCAGAAACGTTCACCTCATTTCATATTTCTCTGTGGATTTTCCGCATATATATATATATATATATATATATATATATATATATATATATATATATATATATATATATATATATATATATATATATATATGTCGTACCTAGTAGCCAGAACGCACTTCTCAGCCTACTATACAAGGCCCGATTTGCCTAATAAGCCAAGTTTTCATGAAATAATTGTTTTTCGACTACCTAACCTACCTAACCTAACCTAACCTAACTTTTTCGGCTACCTAACCTAACCTAACCTATAAAGATAGGTTAGGTTAGGTTAGGTAGGGTTGGTTAGGTTCGGTCATATATCTACGTTAATTTTAACTCCCATAAAAAAAATTGAAATCATACATAATGAAATGGGTAGCTTTATCATTTCATAAGAAAAAAAAATAGAGAAAATATATTAATTCAGGAAAACTTGGCTTATTAGGCAAATCGGGCCTTGCATAGTAGGCTGAGAAGTGCGTTCTGGCTACTAGGTACGACATATATATATATATATATATATATATATATATATATATATATATATACATATGTCGTACCTAGTAGCCAGAACGCACTTCTCAGCCTACTATTCAAGGCCCGATTTGCCTAATAAGCCGAGTTTTCCTGAATTAATATATTTTCTCTAATTTTTTTTCTTATGAAATGATAAAGCTTCCCATTTCATTATGTATGAGGGAAATTTTTTTTATTGGAGGTAAAATTACCATAGATATATGACCGAACCTAACCAACCCTACCTAACCTAACCTAACCTATCTTTATAGGTTAGGTTAGGTTAGGTAGCAGAAAACGTTAGGTTAGGTTAGGTTAGGTAGGTTAGGTAGTCGAAAAACAATTAATTCATGAAAACTTGGCTTATTAGGCAAATCGGGCCTTGCATAGTAGGCTGAGAAGTGCGTTCTGGCTATTAGGTACGACATATATATATATATATATATATATATATATATATATATATATATATATATATATATATATATATATATATATATGTCGTACCTAATAGCCAGAACGCACTTCTCGGCCTACTATGCAAGGCCCGATTTGCCTAATAAGCCAAGTTTTCCTGAATTAATATATTTTCTCTAATTTTTTTCTTATGAAATGATAAAGCTACCCATTTCATTATGTATGAGGTCAATTTTTTTTTATTGAAGTTAAAATTAACGTAGATATATGACCGAACCTAACCAACCCTACCTAACCTAACCTAATCTATCTTTATAGGTTAGGTTAGGTTAGGTAGCCGAAAAAGTTAGGTTAGGTAGGTTAGGTTGTCGAAAAACAATTAATTCATGAAAACTTGGCTTATTAGGCAAATTGGGCCTTGCATAGTAGGCTGAGAAGTGCGTTCTGGCTACTAGGTACGACATATACATATATATATATATATATATATATATATATATATATATATGTCGTACCTAGTAGCCAGAATGCACTTCTCAGCCTACTATGCAAGGCCCGATTTGCCTAATAAGCCAAGTTTTCCTGAATTAATATATTTTCTCTAATTTTTTTCTCATGAAATGATAAAGCTACCCATTTCATTGGTATGAGGTCAACTTTATTTGATTGGAGTTAAAATTAACGTAGATATATGACCGAACCTAGCCAACCCTGCCTAACCTAACCTAACCTATCTTTATAGGTTAGGTTAGGTTAGGTAGCCGAAAAAGTTAGGTTAGGTTAGGTTAGGTAGGTTAAGTAGTCGAAAAACAATTAATTCATGAAAACTTGGCTTATTAGGCAAATCGGGCCTTGCATAGTAGGCTGAGAAGTGAGTTCTGGCTACTAGGTACGACATATATATATATATATATATATATATATATATATATATATATATATATATATATGTCGTACCTAGTAGCCAGAACGCACTTCTCAGCCTACTATTCAAGGCCCGATTTGCCTAATAAGCCGAGTTTTCCTGAATTAATATATTTTCTCAAATTTTTTTCTTATGAAATGATAAAGCTACCCATTTCATTATGTATGAGGGAATTTTTTTTTATTGGAGTTAAAATTAACATAGATATATGACCGAACCTAACCAACCCTACCTAACCTAACCTAACCTATCTTTATAGGTTAGGTTAGGTTAGGTAGCCGAAAACGTTAGGTTAGGTTAGGTTAGGTTAGGTAGGTTAGGTAGACGAAAAACAATTAATTCATGAAAACTTGGCTTATTAGGCAAATCGGGCCTTGCATAGTAGGCTGAGAAGTGCGTTCTGGCTATTAGGTACGACATATATATATATATATATATATATATATATATATATATATATATATATATATATATATATATATATATATATATATATATATATAAGGGAGTACCACCTCTAGCTGGAAGAAGGGGGACCCATAGCCTCGGAGGAAACCACGCATAACGCATTAGAGGGAATGTTTAGATCCCCTCCAATACAGTTTGTGTGTGCTTTTCTCCTACCACCCCCTTCCTTTTTTATTTTTTGTGTATATATATATTGTGTATTTGTTGTATATATATATATATATATATATATATATATATATATATATATATATATATATATATATATATATATATATATATATATTTATATATATATATATATATATATATATATATATATATATATATATATATATATTAAAAACCTAGAAAGGGTACCACCTCTGGTGCAAGTGTAGGGACCCATAGCCTCGGAGAAGAAAATAAACAGT